AAACTTGGTTCCCAAGGGAGAAAACCCCATCCCGGGGGGAAACCCCGGGGGGGGGGGTTTTTTTTCAAAGTTGGGGCCCAGGGGGGAAAACCCCAACCCCGGGGGCCAACCCCGGGGGGGGGGGGGGGGGGCAAAATTTCGCCGTGTGCACTGCTGCTGCTCTCTTTTGTTGATCTTGGATTGATGGAAGTGGAGTTGGTTCCCTTCCGATGTGTGTACGACGGAACATTAATGTTCTTATCTTTCTCAAGTCGTTTCAACAAGGCATTGTATACTTTTGTGCGCAATTTAGGAGAGATTGACTACTGTGCCGTTTGTTCATGTCAGCAACCGACTTATCCCTCCCTGTCCTTTGCGGCGTGCCTTGGTCTCTCCCTCCCCATCTTGGGCGCCGAACGATTGCTTGTCGTGATGACGTCATGACGGGGGTGATCGTTCAGGGTGAAGGCGTGCACAACGGAGGGAGAGACGGAGAAGAATCCGGACATCGGGCCCACGCCGGCCCCTACTCCTTCGATCGACTCAGACTCGTGAGTGTTTGTACGCAGCAGCACTGTGTACCGTGTACAACACAAGTTCACACACCCTATGGACTGATTTTTAAAGCTCGATTTCTCCACGACGCATGACCGAAACGGTACGTATTCGGAGAGCTCTCAACCATTTTCGGCGATGCGACTCTTTTTGCTGCTGATAAATCGATGCAGAGGAGAGGAGAGAAAAGGGAACGTGGTTCGTGTAGATTCTTGTTCCCCCGTGCGGAAGTCTCACCCCTCTACTGAACACCGCCCTTCCCGACCAACCGAAATCAAGGCGAATACATGGATCATTTGTCATTTGTACCATGGCGTGGTATGGTATAACCAGCCATCGTTTGTTACAAACAGCAAGCAGAGTTGAGGAATTCCGCAAGCACCTCTCCTTCGTACCAAAAGGTTTATTCGAGGGCGATTGCGTCTGCGTGTTACACAATAGAAACGGGTCGCACCTCGCCGGCGTGTCACGTCTTCATGCGTTTTTGACCAACACTGCTGTTGGCACCACCGCATCAGTGGCAACACAACATCCTGGGCGTCACCCCGATATTGATATTGATATTGATATAATAGTAGTTGTTACCGTTTTTGTCGTGGTTCATGCTCTGTGCGTTGTTTGTTCCGCTGAATTTTTTCTTCAAGAGTCAATTGTTTTGATGTCTTCCGCCAACAGACCACGTCACATATAGAACCTACGGCTTTGTCTCGCGGAAACGAGGTTTTAGAGTGACTCGTTTTCGCCGTTTGTTTTCGTGTTTCAGTGTTTTGTTCTCTTGCTTTAATTGTCTCGCGGAAAATATGTTGTTCACCGAACAGTTCTCTTGTCTTTTGCCAGGGGACGACGTACAAGTAGTGTATGGAGCCTATTGCTACTATTTTGTTCTTGTGGAAATCTTTTCGTTAAGGATGAACTGTTTTTATGTCTTCTGCCAAGACCCGACGTCGTATGTATGTGGAACCTACGGTTCTGCTTGTCTGGCGCAAACGATGGGTGAATGGTTCCAACGATTTGTTTCCGTCTCTGTCGCTCTTCGTTTTGCAGGGATGACTCCAACGATGCGGCTGCTCCGGTGAACTACCGAGGAGATGGCGACGATGAAGATCTGAGGGACGACAGCGATGACAGCAGCAGCGATGACAGCAGCAGCAGCGACGACGGCGGGCACGGCGACAGCAGCGGCGACAGCAGCGGCGACAGCAGCGGCGGCGGCGCCGCCGGCGGCGTTGGTGGCGGCGGCGGCGACAGCAGCGGGGACGGTGGTGGCGGCGGCCGGGGCACCACCGACAGCAGCGGCGAGAACGGCGACGTTAACCAACGCGACGATGACGACATCACGGGCAGCAGTAGCAGCGACGACAGTGACAACGACAGTGACAGCAACGACGCCACTCCGGCCGGCGGCGGCGACAGCGACAGCGACAGCGGCGACGACGGCATGTCCGACGACACCGCGTACGCCATCGCGTTCGGGGTGTCAGTGGCGGTCGTGACGACGTGCCTTTCGGGGCTGCTTGCCCTCGCAGGGTCCGGTGGTGCCGAGTCGAGCAAAGTCGGCCCCAAGGTGGATGGTTGAGTGAGGTGACAGCGCTAATACTTCTACAGATAGCATCCGCGCTCCTATAGAACACGTAGTTTTGGTGGAGGCTTTTGTGGGCTACAAATGGCCGCTATTATGGTGTAGGGGTTCTTCACCACAGGCTCAACAAACGGTGCTGGTGTTCAGTACAATGTTGGGCATGAAGCTCTTAGATGCGGAGTTATTTGGTGCGGCTGCGATGTATCTGTGGATGAACGCAGGAGGCCGGGTTGGTTGGGTGTAGCTCCTAAAACATGCAGTTGTAGCTCCTCCTTCCGCCCATGATGTTGTTACGTACGTACTGGCACGTAACAATTCGACTCTTCTTGTGTACCTGGTAAAATGTTTTCCTTGCTCTGAAGGCTGCTTGCTGATTGGTTGCATGTTTTCCAAAACTCGCTGCCCACTGTGGTGGTTTGGTATTCTCTAGTCTTGTTCCCGTTGGCCGGTAACCGACAGAATGACGCCCTCGTCCTTGGTGACCCCTTTATCGCGGTCGCATGTACCGCGTATAGTGCCGCCAACATCGTCAATCCGCTGTGCGCGCGCGAAGTGCCAGCATCAGGAGGGCACTCTGTGCGTGTGCGAAGGATTGCTGTTATACCGGTAGCATTGACGGGCATGGAAAGTCGAAGGCATTTAGTGCCCAATCACCGCCGTCCCTTCCAAAAGGCGCAGCCAGCGAGTCGCAACGCATCCATCCTGTATATTTTTTTGTGTTTTTTATGGTGTCGTCTGTCTTGTGGGCGTTGTCGTCATCTGTTCTGCCATGCGGGGGGGGGGGGACGGTATTCGTTGGGGTCCAGCTACTATTTTCATCTACGTTTGGGTATGCGTTGATGTTGTGCTTGTTCACCACCACCACCGCCACCGAAAAAAGAACTGCTTATGTTTTTCATAGTCTACACACGTACACCCATGCTGCATGCATGCGTGTGTCTTTTTTTTTTTATGTCTATTTCACGAGTGTGAGTGAGTGATTTCATGACAGTTAACTTGTCGTGTCATCCACTTAAACGTGTGATTTTCTCGTTCGGCGACATGATGAGCGCTATTGTGTCGGTTGTCACGACTGGTGTGGTCAGCCTATAGTTTGTGGTGGGGGTGCAGTGGTTTGAAAGTTTAGAGAAATATCTTGCTGGCTTGACTGTTTTTCTTTTTTGTGTTGGGGAGGGGGAGGGAGGTGGGGCACAGAAGTGAGCCTTTCTGATCACGGCGTGATGATTATTTACGCCGGCCGATGGAAAAGGGGGCAACGCAACTCGTACCTCTCCCCAAGGGGTCGTTTGTTAGCGCCCCTCTCGGTCGATGGGGCGACGAGTAGCCAATTGGTGAGGTGGGACATTGCACCTCGACTCCAGGTGCCTAAATAACTTCCAGCTACTAATTAATAATGAAAGTAGTTGGGTATTCGCTTGTAGGTTCCCTGGCGCTTGAGACACGCCGCCATGGCTTCTGCATGCTTGCCAAGCCGAGTGCCAGTTGCTGTGGGTGTGTTGTGTGTGGTGTGGCACTATGATGATACCTATTGCCGTGTTGTGTCTGCCCCTCCCTGTCCCGGGTCGGTCGCGAGGGACTCGTGGACTTTTTTTTTCACGCCTGTGTTGACACTTGTGTTGGCGCTCGCTCGTGTCATGTTGTTGCTGTTCAAACTATAGGGACGGGGGAGTGTTCGTTTTTTCGTGCGGTGGTGGCAGTTGGCCTTGTTTTGGTAGGGGTGAAGCTGCCGGCAAGAGTTTTTTGTTCTTGTGTGTTTGTTCCTTGGAGGACAGGGGTGGGCAAGCGCCGGCACATAGACACCAACACGAGTAGAAGCTTCGGTAGACACATACATGCGTTTCTTTTCGCCTGCTGCTAACGTCCCTGTCTTTTTTTCCGGAGAACATCACTGAAGTCTCCCAATGACCGCACGGGTACCATGTTGCATGGCCCTTAGAAGCGTTTTTTTGCGTTTTATGCGCACTGAGTCTGACTGGCCTCTTGTCAGCCTTGTAGCGCGGCCGATGCTTATGATGAAGACACACAATGCACCGCTTTTTATTCGACAAGCAAGGTATTGAAGCGTCGTCGTCTCGTCAAAATCCTACCTTCTACTGCTTCATTCAGGGCGGAAAGGTTTTTGTTGTTTTTGCTTGACATTGAGGAAGCGAGTATCGGCATGTTCTTTCCCCGTGCCTATTTTTCGTTTCAGTGGCCGGACGGGGGGGGGGGAGTTGATAATATGATGACCGGATTAAGTTCTCCCGGCGTGTGTTTTGGCCGTGTGCGCATGACTATTGACATGTTGTTGATGTTTTTTCTCGGCTAGGCCGTGGGCTTGAAATCGATTGGTCTACTCTACTCTTCTCTACTCTGTATCATACATAGCGTTGGTGTCCGTGTGCGGTGCTGCTGCGGCTACTGTAGTACGGCGGTTTCAGGGTGGGTTTAATTTGTGTCTCGGTACAGTATCTACTTTTTTGGGGGTTGAAACGCATTTTTATTTTGGGAACCGTTGGTTGGATGTCAACCCCGTGTACCAAGGGGAAAAGTTTGCCGTTGTGGTGTTGGACGGCAAGGCTTAGCCTCTTCTTTATACGTTGGATGGCGATTTTCGCGCTTACTAATTTTATTGTTTTTCATCTTTCGAGGGCAACGCGGGGCACCAGACAAAAAGTGGTCAGCTCGCTCGTCATGTATGTGTGTCTAATCAGCTTGCGTAACTAACAAGATTATTTGCATCGATCATCAGTCACTTCCTGCCCGTTACCTTTCCGTTGTTGGTTCATCACGTCCGTCCGCCTTCGGAGCACCGCGGGTTGCCAGAACTTTCGAAGACCCTTCTTTTTCGGTGTCGGTGCGGCACCACTGACGGGGGAGGGTCACGCATGGATAACACGGACAGACCGACCGTCGGTCCGGTTGGAATCCGTTCACGCGTTCGTTCCGTGTTCTCTCGCTCTCTGTTTTTTACGCACAACGCAACACATCCCCATCTCTTCCACCACTAGCGGCTAAAGAGTCCGTGGTAGATTAGCAGTGAATATTTACTGTAAGCCGACGACTATCATTGTAGACGTTGCTAGTCCCAAGCTCGCTTGTGTATATTTTATTACATGTTGCTTCAGGCTCGCGGGGAGGGACCGCCGACGGACGCAAGACGTTGAGGGCACCTCTCAGGTGTAAGTACCGAGCTCGGGAATTTGTTCTATCGATCGGCGATCCCGGTTGTATCTACATGGCATGCATACATAGGGAGGGATGGATGTTCTTTTGAGGTTCAAGCGTGCCCAAGTGCACACATGCGCACACCTACATACAATACATAACCTTACATTACATTACATGTCAAGGACCTACTCTACCCCTCCTCACTACCCCTCCCTCAGCTCGCTCGCCATGGGATTCCCACACAAAAACCCAAACTACAGCCTCTTCATCCATCACGTGTATGCATGCATACCAAGGATGTGGGCGAAGGCAAGCAGTTATTTATTTGTGGTGGTTGTATTTGACGAAGTATTTCGCGGTGTGTAGGTAACAAGCATAACAAGCAACGACCATTGAAAATGTCTACCCCATGACAGAGAGAGAGCCACGCGCACGCGTAGACACTCATGATATCAAGTTCTAACAATGAGGCACCCTCTCAGCCCAAAGTTACGGCAAACAACACGGGCACGTACAAAATGTATGTATGCCGACGAGCAACCGAACCCAGCAATCAATGCAAAACGCACGCACACACATGGTCTACCACAAGACGACAAGGACGACCATTCATTACATCATAGTCTACGACGAGTACCCTTCGTCTAAATTAATAGAGCTTACGCCCGTCACAAAAATCGAAAAACTTACTAGACTACACGTAACAGAAGTGGGACTTGTAAAGTGCCGGTATGTGTCCAGAGATTTTACCGGCACTTTAATACCGGACACCGGCACTATTCAAAGTACAGAACGACTTGGTATTTCAGTATGTGCGAGCCGAAAACACCGACACAATACCGGGGAACCCGGCGCTAAACAGGCTCTACTACTGCACCACCAAATGACAGTTTTTAGGCCCTCCCTCACTTTTTTTAATGTGAAGACAGCAACAACAACAACGCTTGCCTGCCACAATCGGACGCCACGAGAACCCGAAAGAAATCAGGCACCCAAAATCACTTTGCGACCGCCGGCACCTCCCTTTCGCTAGCTAACCCTGGCACCACATCCATGTAGATTTATGTCTTGACATTGAAACCGTTGGACAAACGAGTGACACTCCAACATTCGCTCTATTTTACACCGCAATCTCTAGGGATAAAAAAAAGAAAAAAAAATGCGAGACTCTGTGCCGACATCGGAGGGTTCGTGTCGGAAACGACGAACAACTATCATATGCATGAATAAATAGAAAGGCTCAAACATAAAACAATCTACTTGTAGCAGTGCGTCCAAATGGAATTGCCGTCGAAACTCAGCGATGGCGCTACAACTGCTTTACTTCAGCTTTTAGAGTGAGTTGGTATTAGCGGACTTCGTACACTCTTCCACGTCTGCACAAAAATTAGGAATCAGATACATATACGGGGCGATTTCATGAAGCACTGCCGATTATTCAGCAATGTAGCAACCATGGAGTGCGCACCCGCAAGACAAGGTAATGCCTCGAACGGTGGCGTCGAATATGACGGTTTCGACCATGCCAGTAGCCGTACACAGCAGACCACACACCGCCCTCCCTCACGAGACGGTCGACACAATGTGTCATCGCGCCAAGAAAAAAAATCACACGGGACCCCCGAAAGGCGGTGCTGCCGTCGCCGAGTCCTTGGCGAACTTGGCCTTCATGAGCTTCTTCTCCTCCGCCTTGGCGATTGCCGCCGCGTCGTAGGTCGTGGCCACCACCCTCATCGACACTACCGCCACGATGAACGCCAGGCCCAGGCCGACCCACAGGCTGATGAGCGACATGAGCAGGAACCTTCTGTCCGAGGTGATGTTCTCGCAGTTAGAGGTAAAGTCCACGCACAAGTCCCTGGCAGCAGCAGCAGAAGCAAGGGATCGGGATTAAAAAAAAAACTATGTGTACATATATATAGAAAGGTACCCGTTCTAGAAATAACCGCAGTCGGTGGGGATGGGGATTTGTACGGGGGCGACGGCAGCCGGAAGTCGCGGGGGGGGGGGGGGGGGGCCCCTTTTTTGCTTGCCGGAATCCTGGGACCATTGACCACCCGTCCCTTTCGAAAAGGGGGACCGTTCCTACCCCCACTAAAAAAACCCCCAAATTTTGGGAGCTCTTTTCGTTTTTGCCACAAACTCCCAAAAAATTCCTTGGCCCTCTTATTCCC